TAGGACCTATCTATGGACAAAATACAAGCGAAATCAATTTTTCGACTTGTGCCATTGATAGGCGATTTAGGTCCATTTTTGTAGGCATTCACTCTTAAATTACTTACTGAGTGACGCCGAGAAAAGGACGTGGACTGGAGTAAATTTGATTTTTAAACCGTACATGCCTACATCTTTTGGCATAGAAAAAATGAATATACAAAACCTGAATCAAAACAGTGTGCTGCAGTCACAATCCAGTCAGCGGTAACCAAGGAACCTCCACAGACTTGCTCACCATTTGCGATCAGAGCTACTTGCCAAGGCCAGCGGCTGACACTGCAGGCTTGTCCTCCCACAATTCGTCTGGATGCTTCGTCCAAGGTCTGGTTTAAAAACTGTCTTCCGCATTCCTGACCTAAAGAAATTAATCGCTAATACTTTTAGCTGTCATTTGGGTTACACTAGTTTGAAATTAGCTTGGGGGAAAAGAGGTCGCTAGCTCAGAAACTCTTTGCGATGAATCTTGTACGATGTCTCCTAGGACAGATTACCAGGAACCATTTAAGCTGACAACAACCCCCAATTTTTTTTGTCTGTTTTAAAAACGAATGCATAATGTGGTGAAATTTGATATTGAAAAAATTGATTTCTGTGGATTTTGTAGAGAACGTGAGCTACCTGTAAACTTGAAAACCTTGCCATTAAATTTATAGAGACTACCGCTGGGTCTTGATTTGAACTGGCCTTTTTTTTAAAATTTTGTTTCGATCGTAATCCCTACTAACTCGGCTTCCCTAATTGCAGTCATTCTTGTTCATATTCGTTTTTCATGATCAGTCACTTTTGTAGCGTTTAATTCTACCTTAGAAAATTNAATCTTGTACGATGTCTCCTAGGACAGATTACCAGGAACCATTTAAGCTGACAACAACCCCCAATTTTTTCTGTCTGTTTTAAAAACAAATGCATAATGTGGTGAAATTTGATATTAAAAGAATTGATTTCTGTGGATTTTGTAGAGAACGTGAGCTACCTGTAAACTTGAAAACTTAGCCATTAAGTTTATATGGACTACCGCTGGGGCTTGATTTGAATTGGCCTTTTTTTAAAAATTTTGTTTCGATCGTAATCCCTACTAACTCGGCCTCCCTAATTGCAATCATTCTTGTTCATATTCGTTTTTCATGATCAGTCAATTTTGTGGCGTTTAATTCTACCTTAGAAAATTACTAATAGAATACTGTTCCAAAAGACATGATCCAGCCATGCTTTAGAAAATTTCAAAATTCACGTTCAACACCACATAATCACATTATTTCATTAAAAGACGGAGTTGATTAGAAACGTACCTCTCCCTTTCAACACACAAATGAAGAACACACAACAGAAAGTCCACTTAATGTTTTCCAGCCTTCCAATTCCTTCGACCAGCAATCGTTGAACATGTATGTAGTGAAGTCGACGAGATGTAACTGTTCAGTTTTACCACTATCAGCTCGATAGTTGACCCAGAAAACCCACATTTAAACGTATCGTTGTAAAATAGACATCAATTGGACTACAACTTTGTATCGACTGAATTTTCCTATTGAGGCCAAACCAAATTGAGTGCCTTCTTATACCCCGAGTCTGAAGTCTTATAAAGTATTTATTGCAAGATACTTGAACCGCACTGGTAACTAATAATAAAGAAGGTTCACCCTAAACTCTTAAAAGATTCCTCTGCGAAACGCGAGCGATTTTAGGGAAAGCGTTGATATTTGTTTTACAAATTATTCTAATTGAGTATATTTTATAAGCACATATATTACCAAACATTTAATTATCAGGGTGCTATTTTTCACGCTTTGTTTAAGAAAGATCTGCTTTACGCTAAGAAGTTGCTTGTACTAGAGCAAAGGTTACCACACATGATAGTGCAGATAAACTGAAAGCTGTCGTAGCATTTATCTGAAACGTTTCTTTTAAATTGGAAGAAAGCGTGGTCAGTTTTTTTATGACGGTGTGAATTCACGTCTGTGGATGCGAATTTGAAATGGATCCCAATTGGGCGAAGAAGGATTGGCAGGCCATGCAAACAAACAAACAAACAAACAAACAAAAACAAAACCACCTGGCGGAGGACCGTGTTAAAGGAGCTGGAAAAAATGGTCTCTCCCGGGTGAAGCACAGGCACACTTGACACGGTTCAATGACGGGTTTGATTTGACCGCGGCCTTATGTCCCCGCCGAGACGGAAAGGATAAGCAAGTCAATTACTAAGCATGCGCATGGACCAAGTAGCACATACCAAACACACGATTCTTCTTTACATTCAGCATTTATTTATTCATTTACTTATTATCGTGCAATTTATATAACAATAATGGTAGCACTGTAATTGCAATTTTCTTAAATAATCTAGAGTGTAAACAGATGTATCCTTATTCGTGTTTAGTTACCTTTTCTCTGGAGGGAACCTTTAATTCGACATGGAAAATAGACCATTATAATTTTACATATTCTTGACATTATATATGGCCCACTTTCGAGTTCCCTAAAGCCTCTCTATCAAAGTGAAGCCTGGTGCACAACCATTCATTTGAAAACGAGTTTAATTTGCATGTGAATGAAATCTCATTTTCATATGAAAGGATGGGCACCGAGACACCGAGGCTAACGGTAATTCAGAAATGGCCTGTTGGAACTAGTCTTCCATAGGAGCTCTTGTGGGGGGGGGATATCATTAAAAATGAATTAATTTCATTTGCATTGAAAAAATTCTCCTTGCTTTAACCTTAGTTACAAGCTTGTACTATTCCAATACCAAGAATACGTAAATGGTTTAGTCTATGCTCTGATGCCGAGGCTGTGCAAAGATGTTGGCCGGGTTGTTCAAAGCCTGATTAACTTAACCCAGGATTAGCGAGAATTTTGATTTGAGTTTTTTAAATTTTCGGTGATGTTTTCTGTTTATACTGTTTGTCCTTCAGTCTTGAGCTTGACGAAGCTCAAACTACACAAAACGTAAACAGTAGAAAACATTTTTACGCAGTAAAAATTAATGCTTCGGTTAACCTTTAATCCTGGGTTAGCGTTAACCGGCTTTGGAGCAACCCGGCCCTGTGTACCTGATCGGGTTGTCGCTCGATTTTGAAATTTTGTGCACAAGCTACTGAACCAATGAACGACGCTACACTGACGAAACTCTGCTGAGCTATGCCACAAATGGGTTTGTTTTGAACCGAATGACTTGAAAGCTCTATCATCTCTAAGAAGTTGTCTTTTCTAACTTATACTTCTTCTCAATTTCTGCCTTCAGTTATTTCATTTTATTTTAGCTTATACATGTAATTATAGCGCTCTTGTGTCATAGAAGCAATACACTGACACACAAAAAGAGCCGCGTACGTAAATGAGAAAAAGTTTTGAGCGCTTTTTGTTTTTTACGAATCAACGCGTCAAAGGAACCTAGTGTTTCTTTAAGAACCATCCAATAATACTCTTTCTATTTCCGGTTTCTTCCACTCCCTCGCGTTGGCCGATGGCTTTGAGGATCTTGGACTGTTCTTTCAGCATGGTATGTATCTCCTCAATCCTGCGATATTAATAAGAAAACAATTATCGAGACGCGTAATAGATGAGGCACAACGCTCTCTAGCTTTAGTAGCATTTTAGGGAATAATCCTTAATGTGGTAACTGAAGGCTTTCGCAAAGTACAAGGGCTCCTACAAACATTGCTAAATTATTAAAGTAACATGAAACAACGGGTAGCATTACTCCCCGTTTTAGTGGAGGGAGGGGAGAGGCATTCTCTTATATGGGCTATTGAACTGTTTTTGGCCAAGAACACAGAACTCTCCCAATCGACGAGAGGTCATTTTAGAGGTTTTTGACGTACGGGGTATTAAGGTAGAAAATTAACTGGATATAAGATATTTGTGGGAAAAATTAATTGGATAAGGGATATTAAGAAAAGATTTTCTGGGATATCGAGAGGGAAAATGTTCAGGTTTTGAAATTAAAATTTACGGGATACGGGGAATTTAGGCCAAAAATTAACTAAGAAACAGAGCTACGACCACCATTTACGGTGAGCTTGACGCCTAATATCGTGAAATAAAGGGTGTTGCCCTTAAACTGGAAATACTCGTATGTATGGTAAGTCATAGACCCATGCAAAAACGACTGTTAAAGCTCGGCCATGAAAGGGCTGCTGTGCTAAGGCATTCTATCATTCCTTTTCAGAGTAATACTGTCAGCGTTAAAATTTCAAAATTATTTTACAACATAGCAATTTAAACGGCAATGCAATGAAAATAGAGAAGCAGCTGATGTCAGAAGAAAGAAAACGCCTTGACTAAAATGAATTCAACAGTAATACTGAACAGTACTTTGAATCTTGTTCCATCATCTTGTCAATAATGTGTCCCATGACTGGAGGAATACTGTCGTCATCTGCTTTGGTTTCTGCTTTTCCAAACCCAATGAATTTCTCGTACAGCTTAATTGTAACAAGAAGAAGAAATCAAATAAATATGTCGATAAAGACCTGAAATGAATGATTGACTGGCAGACTGGCGGACTGGCCGACTGGCAGACTGGCCGACTGGCCGACTGGCCGACTGGCCGACTGGCCGACTGGCTGAATTGCTGAATTGCTGACTGAATGACTTACTGACTGGCTGGCTGGCTGACTGACTGACTGACTGCCCGTCTGACTGCCTGAAATCCTTTTATAGTGTAAATCTAGCGCTTCCGTCTGCAAAGTGGTAACTAGAACATTGGAGCCTCTACATTTCCATCCCAAAAGCTGAGATAAACTTTAAAGATGACACATCGGGAAAAAAAAGCCTAAACTTTTAAGTTTGTCTTTTTTCGTCTCCAGTTTAAAAAAATGAACTTATAACTTATCGTGATCTTTATAAAGTTGATTTTAATATTCCCCAGATAATATTCTAACCTTCGTCTGAAGCTTGGATTTCCTGTTCGGAAACTCTTCGTATTTGTCAACCTGGACTCGCCTTAAAATCCACTGTGGAAGGGATTCTTCAATCTCCAATAGTAATTCGACCTTGAAGTTAAATAGTACATGAAATCATTTGAGATTAAGTTACAAGTTAAATTTTCTGCCATTCAGTCAAATGTTATTGGTCAAAATTTTAGTCTATATCTCAGCAATCAATAAACTTTGGGGATCTCAGGTATCTGCTGCCAAAAAAACGCATTACCTCTCGTGATCATTTGACTGTTAAAATTTTGACCAACTTGCAGCTTTCACTTAGGCCGCGTCCACACAAACGCAGGTGAAATTTGAAAACGCAGCTTTATTTCTACGGTTAGCTAGTCCTTACCTTCCGCGATAATCCGTCACGAAAACAGAGCTTTTTGAAAACGCTCTTCAAACCGGAGGAATTGAAAACGTCGGCTTTGAGTCTTCATGTTGACTGAAAACATTTTGAAAACGGAGTTTTTTTTACAAACGAGGACGTCGAGATAAACATGTGATTGTCCTGTCCAAGTAGTCCTCCGACACAAATCCAAAATGACCTGTGATTGCTGCGTTTTTGTTTTTTTTATTCCTCCGGCGTAGGATGGACGGAAAACATTTGATGCGTTCTCAGAATGAAGCCTCCGTTTTCAAATCCCTCCGGCGTCGTATTTGGGTAGTTAGTTCAAGCTGAGTTTGTGTTCGTTCTCTAAATTACTTCCTAATCTAAACTATCTTTTATGTGTATTTTTAAAAAATAATATAGATTTTGTAAAAAAAGGTTCAGGAGAAGGCGACTGCTAGCGCTATAATTACTACTTCTGGGCTTTTTACTATTCACCGGCAAATTAAAGTCTTTCACCTCCACTTATTAAAATATGTAAAAGTACATTGCATATTGTATACCTGCATGACGTAACGAGCCATGACAGACTTCTGCTGTATCTTGTCGATGTCTCCCACAGCTAAACCAATCTGATGTTAAGAAGGACAAAATTCATTCAAGTAGACAAACAATGTTTACACACAATATGTACTATAGCTTCGAAAATAACAGCTTTTCTACATAATCCGAAAAGCTAGGAACGAGTTACCAAGATTAAGGTGACTCGCACACTTCTACAATAACACTAAATGTCGTTCTTAAATTTTATTTTATATTTTCAAGGTGTGGTGGCAATACAAAGACATCACATTCTCTATACCAAGCAAGTAAAGAGCTTAAGACAACAACAACAACTTTAACTTTTTTGACTCATGCCTAAAGTTTAAGTGTACAAAAAATAAGTTTAAAATAAAATCGAGTCCATGACCACCTGAAATGACCTTAATAGGCTAATAAGACTGGGCAGCCATCCTTAGTGATAAAGGCAATTATTGCAACACACACATTCGCAAAAAAAGACTAGTTATACATACAGATTTAGTGAAAAATAGTTGGATAATTCAGCGAATTGACGAGAATAGTTAAATACAGATATTCAGTATGCACTAATAGCTTGTAATAATGTTTGATTTTTTTTTTCCTAAGTGGAGAGGCTACTAGAAAAGGCTGCAACTTCTTAATTATTCTGCAATGCAGAGGGCACATGGCATAATCCATCTAGCGTCTCTTGGTAAATGACGTGGTGTAGAGTGCCACTGAAAATGTACGGGTAAACACCGATTGCAATAGCTCTTTTACGAAAATAGGTATTCTTGATTAAGAAAAAAATGCAGAAATAACTGTCTGGGGATACTTAACAGAAATCGTGGAGGAGTGTCGAATGTCGAATTCAAACAAATGAAACATCTGGATTTTCGAGTTAAACCGCCATTCTATACATGTCTAAATAGATGTTTGAGGCAGGTTACATCGCAATATGCTTTACAACCCGAGCTAGGAAACTCCCACATAAAGAAAACGGGGGTGCTCATCGAAAATTTTGAAAAAACCCTAGGAGGTACCAAGATCCTGTATTGTGGGAGTGGCTTGAATTTTTTTTCACCTCTATGAGGTGCCAATTCTAAATCAATACATTATCTCCTGTAATATTTTTTTGGCTTAACACCCTAAAAGGTACACTAAAAGCTCCAGCTGAGGACCTTTTGAGGCTGATCACCCTGAGAGATACCAAAATCGCTTTTTTGACCCCTAAAACATACGACGAGCACCCCATCTATTATATAGCGGAGTCTATCCTGGAGCTTTACAAGCACTACTGGGTTCTTGCGGGGAGGAATTTGCTGTGTTATTCTAACTTGTTCTCCAAACTGAGGCTGGTTTTTATGGATACAACAAGAAAATTACTTACCAGCATGTTCATGAGGATGATAGGCATTGCCAGGCAAAAAAACACGAATACAGCGTTGGCGGCCAAGGGATAGTGCAGTTTGACGTCAGGAATGAAGTCTGACTCGTAGTTTAACTCACCCAGAGTCATAGCAAAGGTTTTCAGCAAGGCGTATTCGAAAGTACTGAAGTTTTCCTAGAAAGAGGAAGATGGCTCTTTTACTGGGGTTAACGCTAGATAAAAACATTGTAAGAATTTCAGTCATCCAATGATCATTTAGTCCGAACGTCCAAGCTTCCGTCCTTCGGTCTTCCTGTCTATGAGTCGGTCAGTCAGTCAGTCAGTCAGTCTGTCTGTCTGTCTGTCTGTCTGTCTGTCTGTCAGTTAGTCAATGTATCATTTCCCCAGCTTCATCTCTATCTTGTAACTGATGTTTTTACCGTGTTTAAATCAAATGTGTATGTCTTATGTTACCTTACTTTACTGCATTCAGCTGCATTTGTCTATTTCAGAGCAAGTGATCGCTAATAGTGAAATTAAACTCTTTAGGTTAGATTGCATCACATAGCACCTAAGGGGTACTTGAATGTATTAAGAGACTGAGTAAGCGAAATTCCACTTTCAAATGTCGCAATTTTGTTAAAATATAAAGGCTGATGAGATATGCGACCCCTACTTACTTACTTACTTTGTTATACATGAGCAAGAAAAATGTTGTCCCGAACGCCACTACGAACAAAAAGAAGAGAAGCAGCACCTATAAAGTGTAAGAAAAGTTTCTTATTCGTTTGTCCATCCTGTACGCTCTTCATGAAATATTGAAAGGATGAATAACTAGTACAGCGGAATCCCGGTTTTCTCGAGCCCTCGATTTCTCGAATCCCCGGGCCTCGAATTTCAGAACCTCTCGATAATTTGGCTGAACAAAAAGTCCTCTCTCTCCCCTCAGTCGAACACTGTAATTTTATTATAAAAAATTTAAAACGATCATATCTGGCTGAAAAGATTAAAAAATTACAAGCTCTCGACTGCCTGAACTTCGATCTTCGACGGTCCCGTCGAAGACTATAGCTCATGCAGGCAGTCGAAAGTTTGTAATTTTTTAATCTTTTCAGCAAGAGACCGTTTAAAAATTTTACCCTGTTTTATCCTGGCTGCGCCCCTTCAATATTTTCACTGTAATTATACCCCAGATTTCTCGAACTACCCGAAACAAATTTTCGTTCCCCTTGGAGGTTCAAAACATCGGGATTGATCTACTGCAACATCAAAGGTAGTGTGTTACGTATGTGGGTTTCGTTGGCTCCTTTTTGTACTTGACATGGATACAGGTTTAATACTTTAATTTTTTTTCTTTCGAGTTCTGATTTGCTCAATGTGATATTTGAATTTTCAGTAATTTGGCACAAGTGATCTCTTTGGGTCTGATTATTCCGTCATAATGATATCAGCTTTGAAAGTGACGCGCTCATAAAGTAATATTTCGACTTTTTGCAAAGCTTTTTATCTATTTTAAATCACAACGAACACGTTTGTGTGTCGTAGATATAATACACGAAAACATAAATGAATACCTGGAAAAGTGTTTTGAACATAGTGAGAAGCATGATCACGTACTTGCCATAGTAAGACAACCTAAAGCAAAGCAAAAAGCAGTCAAGGTTTGCCAAAAGACTAGAACATTTCGCAAATGTTTACAAAGAAAACTACGATCTTGTCGAAACATACAGATAGACAGACTGACAGGCAGAGAGGCAGAGAGGCAGAGAGACAGACAGGCAGACAGGCAAACAGGTAGACAGACAGATAGGCAGACGATGGGCAAACAGACAGGCAGATAGACAGACAGACAGACAGGCAGACAAACAGACAGGCAGGCAGGCAGGTAGACAGACAGAAGATAGGCAGACGATGGGCAAACAGACAGGCAGACAAGCAGGCAGGCAGAGAGACAGGCAGAAAGGTAGGCAGGCAGACAGACAGACAGACAGACAGACAGAAGATGGGCAAACAGACATACAGCCAGGCAGGTGAAAAAATTGAAAGACAGACAGGCAGGTACACAGACCTACAGACTTGAAGGCAGGCAGTCATATAGGCAGACAGCAGACAGACAGACAGACTAACTGACAGAAATATAGAACGACAGACGGACGGACGCACTGAGAGACCTACAGACAGGGAGCTTGATACTTCAAGAGTAAGAGTTAAGGGGTGGCACTGATTTGCCGCAAAATGTGGAAAAGACTTCCGGTCGTCGTACCCCCACTTCACCATTAACGTATATAAGCCAAATTTAAAGATAATTATTATCCTTATACCACTCGTTACACATTACCTTCTGAAATAAAGGACAAGATTGAGCCAAGCAAAGAACAAGGAAAATGCCGCAGCTTCAGGTTTGTAGTGTGCCTTACAAGCACAGATCGGAATAACAAATACCAGAGCAGACACGTAAATAACCCACTCGATGTAGTTTGTTATGGTTTTCCAATACTTGAGACGCTGTAGAAAAAAGCAAAATGGTAACAGTGAATCTGTCAATTGATAAGGAGTATTGGTTGAACCTGCGGCTTTCGTGACCGACTTTGCCAAGCAACATGACATATTCTGCTTTCGCCACGTTGACATGAAGGTATCTAGCGTTCCCGTAATTGAGTTTTCTACCCTTTGATTGTAAATGAGAATAAGAAACTATTCGAGCGATGACTTGAAGATGAGCCAACATCTGCCAATAAATTGTTCCTGAAAGGCTCTCAAAGTAGACTCTCTTTTTCGCAATTATACGTGACGACCAGTCATTTCCAAGAGACAAAAATTTGACTCTGAACGTGACTAGCACACATTATCAGTCACCAGTAACAGTCTTTAATATATAGCCAGCTCCATGAGCGGTTAAGATGAATCAAGTCCTGCGCTGTGATTGGCTACCTGAGCGGGCAAGATGGAGCTATCTTGGCCGCTCGGGACTACCCGCCGTGTCCCGCAAGAAAAATTTCCCCTAAAGCCATATAATAAATCCTTTATTGACCAAGTGTGAGGTCAAGAAGGCTGGATATTGGCCTCGTTCTTTTTTTTGCGAGTTTATGGACCTCGACTCCGTCACGGTCCATAAACACACCAAAAAAAAAAAAACTTGGCCAATATTCAACCATCTTGACCTCACACTTGGTTAATAACCCATATTTCTTGGCACTATTCTTGGTCAACTATTTTTTCAATCCAATCCGGATTGGATACACACAAGTGGAAAAGTATTAAAAACGCCAATATATCTCTTCAGCATCAACAAAGATCATATCATAAACCAAATTCGAGCGCATCACTGAAGATTTGATTTAATTTGTGCAAAAAAAAAAAAAAAAAAATACAAGAGGACTTAGTCTTTTCTTTAGCTGGCTTTGAAGCAGTTGGTAGAGAAGTCATTGTTGTGAAAGGTAATTTAGCAATAATTATTTAGCTACTCTCTTACCTGTCTGACAATCTGTAACATCTCCTTTATGAGGTGAATGAAGGCGAAAACGATCACAAAGTAGTGCAGACCCACAACAGTCTAGGAGTAATAAGAAAACAAAGTCGACTTAGTTCCATAAAAAAACACAGCACACTGTATTTATCAGGGTCACAAAATTGACAGGCCGGGAGCCAGGTTCACGAAGCTTCCCTGAGTTAAGGAACACTAAGCATTGTTCCCCAACAATAGGCTAAAACAACATTCGGGAATCATCTTCACAAAGGAAGACCTTGTAAATGTGGATCCAATTCGCTTGGCGAACGGCACCGCATAAAGCTACAAATTTTCGATGGGAATGCAATGCGAAACTTAATTTCCCACAAGTAATTCTGAGTTCTCGGAAAATATCAGTACACAAACTGTGAATGTAACTTCACTATATTACATTTATTTAGCAGTTATATAATCACCTTGTTGGAATCATTGCAAGATATCCCATCGTCATCGTGCCAGTCCTGTCGGGTAAATATCGTTGATGTTAATAATTCGAATTGAAGTCGTAAACTGAGAGCAATCTGGGGGTGGCTAAGACCCTAAAAGATAATCCACTTAGAACGGAGATAACAGCTTTTTTTATTATTATTTCGAGTGCACCCTAAAAGGTACCTTGACAGCTAAAAACAGCGTTTGGTCTTGACCACTCTAAGTAAGACAAAAATCGGTGATTTACATCCCTAAGCCGTTGAACTGAAGACGAGCATCCCCGAGCTTTTTATATGGGAGCCCCCCGTTCCCCCACAAGTTTAGAGCGGCCTTGTGTTGCTTACCCATGGTTTGTGTTCGTAATAGCCAGTCCGATGCTTCGTCATGTTTTCAAACTGGTAATCACACAGCTCAAGGATATTGATCTTGAGGTATACTGCGAGGGCGGTGAAAGGCAGAAGGAAGGACAAGTACAGGCACAGATTCACGATAAATGTTATCCACCCGAATTTCTTCCTGGATAATGAAAACAAAAAAAAAGGATACAAAATGAGCATAAAAAGGCAAATAACTAGTTAAGAAGTGGCTAGAAGTGGTCGCTTCATTAGCCTATTTGTGACCATTGACGTTTAAAATATTCGGAGCTTGCCTCAGTCAAAAATCTTTTAAAGGTTTCCCTTGTTTTACGTCCTTGTAAGTTTACAACGATTATCAGTTGAGTAAGGCACGAACGAGCTTTGAGGACAAAGTTTGGACTTCAAATTACGGTATTACGGTAATATATAGATTTAGGCCAGCCTAAAAGCGTAGCTCCTGGGCCGGGTTGTTCAGAGCCAAATTAAGGTAACCCAGGAAAAGGTAGAATTTTGATTTGAGTTTTGTAACTTTGCGGTGAGGGCCTTACTCAACTGATAATCATAGTAACAGGATTTTTCACGGAGAATGGACAAAACTATGAAGGTTGGTAGAACGATGACTTCCATTTCGTGCGTCACGTAGGGACAAGCGATAAAAACGACAGGAAAAAGCCAAAAACAAGCCTACGACAAATCCTTGAGTAAACATAAAAAAAATTCTTAGCATGAAATCCTGTACAGATGACTTTAGTATATCTCTACCGATATTCGTGTGGTGTTTGTGATTGGCTCTTATTTGGCGCGAAAACTGAAGATCGAACGACAACCAATCAGAGACTTGGTCGGATCGTATTAGAACTACGTCATCAGAATGGAATTTGTTGGGTCCAGTCTCAGACGTTTCTCGAGCCAGGAAGAATAGAAAAGTCTATGTTATGGTTTCTTGGGAAATTAGGATAATGAGCTTGGTTTAAAGTGTAAAAAATGTTTTGTTGTAGCTTACCATTTGATGTTCATCAGTACATAGCACACAGGATGAGTCAGACAGTTTTCACGGCGTCGCTCCGCCATAGTCTGAGAATGAAAAAGGAAAACAATTCTTTTACGTTGAATTTATTTCCACCCCAGGGGTGATTCCCATGTGAGAATTTTAAAAAAAAAGGTGCATGGTTGACCGGAGTGGGGGGGGGGGGGGGGGGGGTGGGGAGGTTGTTATTAACGGATTTTGGTCTCGATTAGGGCATTTAGAGCAAAACGCCATAATTTTTCGTCGTCAAGTTATATTATAGGGTTCTATTCGAAGAAGTAATAACAAAAAAACCTGTGATTTGCATGTTCATTCGCGTGTAAAAAAAAAAAAAAAATTAGAATTCATTATCGTCGCTAATTGCGAAATCGCCTCGACTACGCGTGGCGGGGAAAACAAGTCATGTGACTTATGTTTTAAAAGGGAAATCTTGTCATGTAACGGACACTCGAAGCCCAATAATCAAGACAGTCGCGAGCAAAACATCAAGATAGCGATCAAAGGGATCCGACACCCAGGAACACAAATTGTAAGTTTCGAAATCGTTTGTCGCTTCCATTTAGAACGTTGTAAATAATAATTTATCTCGTAATTATTTCAATTTCAGTTGAATACGATGTAACCACGGACGCAACGAGCCGTGTCTCTAGTTCAAACAAATCTGACAACGTTTGATCCCTGGTGGGCTAATCTTCAAAGTAAGTAGCCCCTTTGACCGCAGGAGTGAATCAAACTGTCATACTTTTCTTGTGCTCTCGCAAGCTCTTTGCTTTACAAGAAGCAAATGAATCTCTCTTTATTGTAATTTTGCGCTACAAGCACCGTGCGATCCTTCGTAAGAAAAATTACCATGGGAATAAAATGCCATGGGAACCTAACACAGCCCATTAGGCACAAGGAAAACCATGTGTTTTGGCAATATTTGTTCCTCACTTTCGACATTGTGTTTACTAGATTTGAGAGATATTGGAACTCTTCTGTACTTTTTTTTTATGAGCGTTACTAAGGTTTTAGTGCGCGAAGAATTATGGATTAATGTGCCAGTCGCCATGTTTTTTTTTTCCTGCCGAGGTTGCGGACATTCTTTTCTACCCTTTTAAACGTAGTATTTTTAGCGGTCAAATATAAAACTCGACTAAGTTGAGATTGGTTTCCTCTAGGGGATTAATTCAAACTTTATGACGAGTATTTCCGAACTTGTCACACTGGAACCCCCACGGGATCTTCCCGTCATTTTACAGTAATAAATTTCACGAAGTAGGAAAAACAGCACAAAAGGATAATACACAAGATTCACAAGGTTAAAAACCGTCCTCCTAACGAACTGGAAATTAAAAAAATTCATCGCCTCACTGTAAGATAAAAAACTAATTTTCAGACCTCATATATTGCAAGATGGGTAAAACACAATTTTTGGAATGGCTTTGCTATGTTGCATGAAAGATAACTGAAGTGTAAATTAAATTTCGGACATTTATTTTGTTTACCAAAATTGTCAGGAGTGGGATTCGAACTCACGCCTACAAGGGTAGACTGCGACCTGAACGCAGCGCCTTAGACCGCTCGGTCATCCCGACACACACATACTTGAATGTAACAGTGCGAAAGACAGCTGTCCACTATTGGAGGCGTTGTCTCTAGAAGGTGAAGCCTTAACCTAGTTTAAAGTGGTTGTATTTTCCAGGCTGCATGTAATAATCACAATTATATAGGTGTTCAAGATTAAATCTTCACCTTCAGCGCATCAAGAGAATGTTCCAGCGAAGCTGTGACGCTGCTTTGCTTTCCTTGTATCAGCCGCAGATTGTAGGTAATCTGATAAATAAATAAATAAATAAATAAATAAATGAATAAACAGATATAAATAAATAAATACTAAATGAGTTAGTTTTTCCTCACTTCGGCTGCCAAATTTGTGATTAGCAGTTAACCGCCCTTCAACTTAGTTCCCAATTTTTTAGTTTCTAATTGGCTGGACAACTTACCTTAAAATCTTTGCTGCTTGGATCGCCTTCCTGTTCAACACACTGATCTAGAACACGCTGCAATTAAAAGACCTTTTGTTTAACAGTCTTAGAAACCTCCACTTGCAACATTACTAGCATATGTAGAACCTCAGTCAATGGTGAAGGCCTTAGATGGGTAACAGAGGGAATTTACTCCTGACTGAACTGAGAACTGGAAGCAAAGGTCACTGAACAGTTCGACCGCTCCGGGAGATAGAAAGCTGCATATATTATATGGCTAGCTCCTTGAGCGGGCAAGATCAACCGAATCCTTCACTGTGATTGTCTACCCGAGTGGGCAAGATGGCGCTATCTTGCCCGCTCAGGACTACCCGCTGTGTCCCGCAAGAAAATAGTGTTCTTTTCCATATAATAAATCCTTTATTGACCAAGCTTGTTCGGTCAAGATGGCTGGATATGACCTCGTTCTTTTCTTTTTTTTTTTTT